TGAAAGCCAACCCCCGATGTTTTAAGGGCATCCTAGCTTGGGCTAACAATGTGAGGACCTGTTCAACATTTGACATTTTCCATTTCCTCGCCATTTTGTTGGTAGAGTGTCAGGACATGGAGAACGAAAAAGATACCATGAGCAAGGAAGTAGGGACTAGGCTGCGGTACTCACCACCCCAATCAGTTTGGACACAGTTTAGAGAGTATTGACTGTCTTTCAGCCAACTTAGGAACTGTTTAAAGATACTTTGGGTTTCATATTAACTTTCCAAGGAAACACCCAAGTGAACACACTATAATCACTTCTAATTGGATGTATTACTTGAATCCTCAGGGAGGGACCCCAAGGTCCTGAATGGACTATTCCAAAGGTTGACAGCTCTAGAGCTAGATCTAGAAATGTGGACTGGTGCAGTTTGCCGGTTGGCATCTGGTGCAAAATCAAATTTGTCTTACTTTGTGATTTATTTTGCAGAGAAAGAAAATTTTTGCAAGAATTGTGGCATTGGGGTGACCTAATCTTCTGTGCCACCATAGTCCCTGGTTTTTTTCCCCCTGGTAAAGCTTGAAACTGCACGTTTTTATCAATAGTAGCTTCATTACATGTGGATACAAATTAGGAACAGTAGGAGCACATTGTGATTACCAAAGTTTTAAGACAACCAGCACATTATTGCAGAATGAAACAATACATTGAATGAGAGGATGATAAGGTTTTTTAAAGACAGTAGTACGAGTGCAAGCTGAGCCTAAAGACTTTGAAAAGCAACAGCAGATTTGATGTTGAAGAGGAGGAGACATCTGGAATTGAAGTTGGTATAGGCCCCTTTACGCTTTCCTTGGAGAAGACAGTTTTGGGGATTGTTGGTCCTTACCATTAACAGTCACGCAAAAAATTCCACTATACCATTATTCCCTAGTAAATTTAGATATGCTTACAAATTCTTAGTATATGTGCCACCCACAACACATTTTTGAGCATAATTGATCTGAATATGAGAATGGCACGGTAATAAGCAAGACAGTATGGATATAAGGAGAGCTCACCATTTCCACCTAGAGCTGCTTATTGCCCGGTATAACTGGATTTAGATTAGCTGAGACAGTTTTGTTGTGACATGGTCTGTGGCACCAGAATCCTGTACCAAAAGGAGTCCTGAACTATGGATGGGGTGGCAATAAGTTGGCTCCATGATCTTGATACTTTGAGTTGTGTTTGAGATAGAAACACCTTTTATATTAACCAGGTGTCCACCACTTGAGTTCCTGGTATTGATTGAGGCATCCCGAAGTGGAAGCGATGCTGTGGAGAAAATGTTCTGAGAAGAATGCTGCGGTCCCGTACTAGATAGGACGAAGTTGAGAAACCAAGTGCATGTTTTGGAGCATTCTATCCGTCCATTAGCGGTGGGAAATAAAAACGGAAATTTGTTCCTTAAACGAGACTTGGATGAAACAATGTTGAGGTCTAGGATAATTCTGCACAAGTTGGTTTCGCCAAAAGAGCACTTCCTACCAGTCAAAATTAACATTGAATCTGTGATAGCAGTTCAGCGCCAAATGTCCAGTCTTACCACAGACTTGACAAATAAACTTTGCTCTACTTCTCCTCTGCTGCTGCCTTGCTGCGCACCAGTAAATTGAGTTGGTTAAAAATTATCTGTGGAGCAAATTGAGGGTGGTTCAGGAATAGATGGAGAAGATACATTGATGCTGAAAATGTAGGGGATTGAACAACAATGAGAGAGTGTCCACTGGAGTCAGTCCCAGATTATGATTGAGTTATGTCAACTGATGACTTTTGTTGTTCAACGGTGATACGTCTTGCAAGATGAACTGACTTCCAGAAACTCATTGTTGATGACTGAGTTCATCATGAGATTTTGCTTTCTCTAACCTAGCTCAAACTTCTGCAAGTATTTGAGTTCTTGTATTGTAAGTGATCAAGCTAGACTCTAGCGTGTTGGTAATATTGACAACACGCGGCATCATATTCTGAATTGACCATCCAGAATGTGTTTATCACTCTTCATCAGTAATTGTTACCATTTGCTGTCAATTCTCAGCAGCTTTTCATTTGACAAAATCTTTCATGGATACTAAGGTTGTTTTTTTTTAGTGTTTTGTAGTAATGTTTATAACATGCACATTCTTGTCTTGATTCTGTGATAAACTCTTTTCCAAGGTCAACCAAATATCTGCAGAAAACTGACATTTGAGATTACACTGAACATAGACTCTGAAATTGCTCAAAAGCCAGCTTATCCAAGCTTGTTGGTTCTCTCCACTGATGTATTCCAGATAAGTTTTCTTTTCCGTTGAACCACAGCTCCTTCAGCTTGAACTTTACAATTGAGCTGGACATGCAATCAATCCGGTGAGTTGAGTTGTTCCTCAAATCTTAAGACCAACTGCAAAGAGGATTTGAGATTTCCAAAACCTATAGTATCCCTAGTCAATTTGGGGAAAATAGCAGGGAGGGATGAAGATGACATGAATGTGGATTTACGAAATTGATTGACTCGGTATCACTTTGGGTTTTAGTTGTTTTGTGATGAAGAAATTGTGTCAGATCAACCATACTAGACGCTAGTCGATGGCTCTGATACCATGTGAAGTTTCAAATAGAAAGCAGAGAAAGAAACAAAAACAGAGAAAGAGACAAAGAAAAAGCTATTCTAGGAACTGTGTTTTTTTTCTTATTTTCGTTTTCTAAAAGAGAATACACTGTAGAAGCACTTTTATAGTGCTTGGTTTAACCAGAGTTGTAACTGCTAACCATACATCTTAACTTAGTAACAAACTAACTTTAAGTACTAACAACTTAGTAACACTTGGTCTCCACCGAGACTGCAACTTGCTGGAGTCTACCACTTTCTCATTTTACCAACTTGCTAAGTCTGCACACTTTCTGCACTTACCAACAGTCTGCCATCCTCACTTTTGTCTTTGCGGGTTAAGATTGTCCATTGCTAACAAACAATGGAGCAAGGGTAAAAAAAGATATTGCTTAAAGATTGCTCATATTCCCAGGGTTCAAATAGATTAAAAATTGATCTTCAATTCAAGGAGGAATAAAGCGATGAATCGTTATTAACCAAGGTTTGTCATTTTCTTAATTACAACTCTACTATTATCTAGATTCTTATCTAATAGAGAATTTTTTGAGCTTCTGCCTTAATTTTTCAGTGATCGAGTCATTATCTCATTTGAACTGCTAGATGATCATCAACAAGAATCTACCAGTGGAGGTTTGTGAGGTAATTTTAAATTTTTTCTTATAATATTTGTAGTCAACTTGAACATAATACCTTGTATCTACATTCAATCCAAATTACTAATTTCATAATTCTTGTCCAAATATTTGTTATTAATTTAATTTTTTCAGTAAATTGATTGTAATCTCGTACTCTGTACCATTCTGCATTGGGCACTCTTTGTGTGTGAAACGTAACTGAAAGAAAAACTTTGAACTTGAACAAATCCTAATATCTTGAATTCTTAATACAAGTATTATTCATGTTCTTGTTTCGTTTTTTCAATTTCTGGTCTGTCAACTTCTAACATCTGAACCATTCTACGATTATTAATTCTACTTTTGTTGTTTTGATAACAAAATACTTACAATGAAAGTGGTTCCTCTTCCAAAACTTCACTACTTTGTCTGATAGATTTTCTCACTCCTGTGCTTCAAGGTAATAAAAAGTAAGCAATATCTGCAATTTTTGATAAAAACATCTGCTAAGGACCTTGCTACTAGTTTTCTAGATGTGGGTTCTACTATGGGCATGAATTTTTTCCTTGCAATCATTTTTTCAGGTGCCGCTGTCTCCAACTTCACTTAAGCAACTTTAGAATCAAACTCTTGGCAGTCAATTTTCTAGATCTAAATGTTAATACTGGCATGCTACTTCCACTTTTAAAACCTAACTCTTGGCTTCAGGTTTGGAGCTTTGGATCCTTGTTGAAACTACAATACATAATTTCGGCTTCTAGCTGTTCCAACTGTTATCAAGTGACATGTTTTTGTTTTGGGCAAAGAGATTGTGAAAAGCATTAGATTTTTTATAGCTTATTTAAGAAACCATTATTTACTTTTCCTACGCAACAACACGATGCGCAGGACCCTACACTTACATTAACAATGCAGGAGTCATTTGAGGGCTTAAATTTCCTTCTCCAACTTCTTGTAAGTATTTGACACCATTTGTATATATCTAAACTCTTAAAAAGTGATGATCTCAAATCATTTTCTTTCGCCTATCTAATTACACATTTTGGACCTCACTCTTGGATTGCATATGGAGTCCACCAAATGATGAGAAAAACAAGTATTTGTTGAAAAATGCCTTTTAGCAAAATCACATGAGGTAGAAATGATAATGGAGAAAGGTTTAGGGACTTATATGTAATAGGCCAAAAAAGGTTAGTTTGTCCCACTTGATTAGGATGACAAGTGGGAAACTTTTGGGGCCTATATATAAGGACCCAAATCATTGTTATTAGGCATCCTAAGTTGTAATTCCATTATACTTCTTTTGTTTAGGGTTCTTTCTTTAAGGACCCTTTAGTTTGTAAGTTTTTTTGTATCTCCCCTTTGTTTTGGGTATTTGTTTTATTGCCCAAAAGTTTATAATGTTTTGGAGATAGTGGAGTTTTCTTTTACAGCGCCCGAGGACGTAGGTTTCAATACTGAACCTCTTTAATTCCTGGTATTCTTTATTTTTGCATTTAATTTTGGCTATTTATTTATACTTTACTACTTGTTATTATTATATTCAATACCTAGCATTAGAGTTTATGTTTCCGTTGCATAACAGTATGGACCTCAATATATCCTGCTTAAGCAGAACAACCAGTCAATGTTCATCGAGTGCAAACACGTGAGATATTCTTTTTCAGTCCTCTTATTTTTTCCACCATCATTGCCCTTTTATTCTAGAAGAGCATGTCTTCTTACTTTGTATTTGTTAATATTCAAGGTGAGTCTTAAGAATGTCGAGATGAAATCAATGCAACTTCAATGGAGTCACGTGTCACCTCAGATGAAAGACTTGAATAAAATGTCTAGCTTATGTCATTTCTACAGTGGCTTATGATCAATCAGTTTCTATGGTGGTAAGAATTTTCCAACTTGGATAAGAAGTTCTTGTACATTTTGAGATCTTTAAAACATGACAAGCTCGTGTCTTTTCTGCAGGATAATAGAGAGTAAAAATCTCTAGTATCTCATTTATTGAACTTTGGAGATCAGGAGGTGTTCTGCTTATATATCTTTGCTAGAGAAGGCTTGATGGATCTGATAAGTTCAAGTCCTTACCAAATCAACTAAACGGTCTCATATCTCTTAAGTAATTTCTTATTAGAAACGCTCTAAAAATTTGTTATTTGTTGATGGTTTGCCTAGTTGCAACACAAATATTGATATTTGACCCTTGTTAATCAACTTGTAGAAAGAAAATAAAAAGAGAAGGCAGGGCAGGAAATCTCTTAAAGCAAATGGATGAGATTTAAAGACATTACATCACTTAGGAAATTTGTAAGTTGTAATTGTACTTTTGTATCAATTGTTTCACGTATTTTTACAGTTGTGTCAATTACTTTTTTTTTNGCTGAGTTTGTTGATTGAGTAGGCTATTTCAGGTCTTGATAATGTGAGGTATTGGAGAGTTCCAATGGTACTCCGATAAAGGGCTGGTTTTTCAAACAAGGCACTATCCTCAAAGGTGAGTTTGCTACCTATGGCCATTGGTGTTGAACATGGATTTGAATCCATCATACCAGTCTTGACAAGAAGATCATGAGCATACTTATCTTGACTCATATGCAAACCTGATGCATTTCGATGAACCTCAAAACCAAGGAGGTATTTGAGAGATCCCAAGGTTTTCAAAGCAAAATCAACATTCAGCTTGTGAACAATCTCATGAACAAAAGTAGCATCAGGATCTGTCAAAAGTATATCATATACATAGACAATAACATACATGACTTGACCATTTTTCCTATATATGAAGAGACTCGAATCTGCCATAGAAGTCACAAAACCCCATTTTAGAAAGGCATGTTTAAGCTTATCAAACCAGGCCCGGGGAGCCTGTTTGAGGCCATAAAGAGCTTTGACCAGTTTGCATACATGAAGAGGAGCTTTAGGATCAACAAAACCTTGAGGTTGAGACATATAGACTGTTTCACTGAGTTCTCCATTCAAGAACGCATTATTGACGTCCACTTGTTGTATATCCCATCCATAAGAGACAGCCAAGCTTAAAACAACTCTGATGGTTGATGATTTAATAACCGAACTGAAGGTTTCAATGTAGTCAATACCAAGAGTTTGTTAGAAACCCTTAGCAACTAACCTAGCTTTGTATCTCTGAATAGACCCATCTGAGTTATGTTTAATCCTAAACACCCACTTGCAGCCAGCAATATTCATGTGAGGCTCAGCTGATACAAGTTCCCAGGTGTTGTTGGATAAGAGAGCAGTGAACTCATCTTCCATGGCAGCCCTCCAAGAAGGATGAGAGAGAGCTTCAATGGTACTGGTGGGTTCTGTGGTGTCAAGGTGGGAAACTGCTGAGGTAGAGGTTACTAACATAGAATAGGGAGACTTGGTTTTAGATCTTGTAAGCATAGGATGAGTGTTAGGAAGGTGAGATGGAGGTTTAAGTGGAAGATCAACATAGAGATTGATACCTTTAAAAGAGGAGTTTGAGCATGTAGTAGGCTGGTTATCAACGGGCAGGTTGATAGTAAGGTGAATAGGACCAGAGGACTGATCTGTGGGAGTAGGTGAGTAGGTTGTGGTGTTTGTGGAGGTTGAAGGATTTGGATCTATAGTATTTGTGGAGTTTGTATGCTGGTGATTTTGATTGGGATTTAAATCAGGTTGGGAGGCAGAGGATTGATCTATGGGAGTAGGTGAGTAGGTTATGATGTTTGTGGAGGTTGAAGGATTTGGATCTGCAGTATTTGTGGAGTTTGTAAGCTGGTGATTTTGATTAGAATGTGAATAAGGCTGGGGTGCAGAAGACACACGAAGTTCATGGGGAAAATCAAATGAAGTTAAACTTGTTGGTAAAGTGGACTGGGGTAATGTAGCTATAGTTGAATTATGTTGCTGACCTGTTGGTAAAGGTAACACAAAACCATGAGACTGACCATCACAGTGAACACGAGATTGACCATGCGACTTACTTTGTGGCTGAGTGGTTGAGTGAGTTAAGGAAGAAAAAGTAGGCAGATGTGAGGATGATAAAGGAAATGGAAACTGATCAGCAACCAAAGTAGANTTTATGTTTTCAAGATTGGATAACAGTTTCTATTATACCTTTTGAAACAGTTCTTGATCAGAGTAAGATTAATGAGCTGCTGTCACAAAAATAAATTCTTAATGAAAGAGAAGAATTAATGGTTTTCACTTGATTTTGTTCTCAAAAATTCACAAAATGAGAAAAATACTCACAATTAATAAGTTAATAATAAACATGTCTACTTAAACAATGAATCTTGGGTTTTAATTTCTGAAAATTTATTTCAAGGATCTCCATTACAAATGATGGATATATTGGTGTAATATTTTCATAGTATTTGTCATTCACCTATCCTACCCGAATTACAACAAAGATATTATAATTAAGAGTAATACTAGCCTTACAAAGAGGCATACAAAGAGTCATACAAAGAGGCAAATCCATATTCTGGATCATGCCTGTTGATGAATAGAAGTAGTTACTAGCTCTAACTCTTCACCCGCTGGTCAAACACTCAGCTTAACTAAACTTGAGCTCTAATACCATGATAGGATTTAAGGTGTGTCTGACTCCTCACCCAATAAGGCTTTTTTGAATGGGAGGATTACCCCCTCTTATAACCCAATAGACTTGAGTGTGCCTAGTCGGTATGGGACTCCAACACTGCCCTTCACGGTCAAGCCCATATGGTTCACTTGCCTATGAACGAAGGTAGTTTGGCAACCTACCACTGGTCCTAGCTTTGATATTATGATATAATTTGAGGTGGGCCTTACTCTTCACCCAATAAGGCCTTGTTGAATGAGAGAATTACTCCCTCTATAAAGTAGTATGCTTGAGCGTGCCTAGTCTGTGTGTGACCCTAACACAAAATATGTTATTTTATATGAGTTACGAGTTTGTTTAAATGTTATTTGCTGATTATGACAAGAGTTCTTGTTTTTGTGTGCTTTATTGAAGTATATAAGATACATGCATATTTGGGGATTTGGTTTCAATGCCTTTCACCATAGCACAATGTTTATTTGGAGAATCTGTCTATATGAAGGTCTTTATGATTACACGCTTCACTTTTTTGTTGGTCTCGTTCTAGGATTAGGAGAATTTGTTGTTATAGGCATCTCTTCTAGCTTGTTCATATAAAGCATGCTTGAATTATCACATAAACTTGCACTTTTGACACTTTAGAGAAAAGCAGAATCCAGTTTTAAAAACCAATTCACCAAATTCAGTAGAAGAAAGGAGCAAACTTATCAAACATTTTCTGTAACTAATGACCATAATCTAGATGCAGAACACGGTATTAAGTCCCCAAAATTGGGAGCAACTTACTTCAGCATATTATTCCACCAACTAGTACTAATGCAACAATAAGTTGGTAAGAATTTTAGACAATAGATTCATATGCATTTTATGTAGACAGAAGACGCTATCAATAGAACACAGCCTTAATCTCTCCAATCAAATACTTTCTCCAAGACTCGTATCTTTCAGAAGCAAGCATTATACAGCAAGACGTCCTTTGTTTTACGTAAGACACTAATTGATTATCAGATACTTTCTAAAAGACTCACATTATCCTGTTAGTCACTAGAGATCTGTAGGTTCAGCAGTACTCACCCACAACAATAATCAGTCAATGGAAACTAAGTTTATGAACAACATCCTTATTATCAGAAACAACACACAAAATACTTCCTCCGTTGTCGCTCCATGCTTCGTTTATCTCATTTACAGCACCATCTATAGATGCATCCAAAAGAAAGAATTCACACAAGTATTACGTCGCAATCCTCTTCAATGGAATCACCTATACCAAGCAGATGCAAACCAATACACGTATATTAGGTATTTCTCAAAAATTGAAGTTGGTAAAAAAACCAATACACGTATATTAAACCAAACATCTTTAACTGTGATCTAAGCTGCCGCTCAAGACAATTCAAACTAAATACAGTAGCAATGCATATTATTAAGTTTAAACTTCTGTGCCTTCACTAAATTCTTAGCTATAAGAACGAGATCAATAGCTACAGTCAACACAAAAAAATAACACCATTGTTCGAAATATAAGCATATCAAACACTCTTCTAAACAACATAAGCTTTACAACAAAAATTTGAATGTGCCATTGTAGAGAGCTCTTTTGATAAAAGCACTTAAAAGCCTTTTTTTTAAATAGTATATTTGATCAACATTTTTATTACTTTTGTGTACTTACAAATCACTTTTTAGAGAAGAATATGTTACATGCATTTTCCATTGCGTCAAAAGCACTCCTGATGCATGCGATTGACAGAACTTGTCCAGAAATAATCTCTCCAAGTGCTTCCCAAAAAAAGCACTTATAGATGCTATTCTTATGCAGAAAGTGCTTTTTTTTTTTCTTTTAAAAATTCAAATCTCCTTCGATACAAACTCCAAGTAAAATTTCGAGGAAGACAAACACTTCATCTGTTTCATCTGAACAGGCACTCAAACTTTAAAAATTAACAAAAAAGAGAACTCTTATTACCTACTCTAAAGCATAGAGAAAAAAATATAAAAGCAAGAATTACCTAATCAGACGAAAGGCCAAGAACATACGAAACGCCCTGCGAAAAACAATGTGAAACGTAAATGTCAAAATTCAACTCATTTCTAACAACAATTTCAAAACAAAGAGACCGCGAAAGAGATGATATAAGATGAAATAGTACCGTACGGATTTTCGATTGACGGAGCTTACGAAGCAAAGAGGAGAGTCCCGATCACAGCTGAAACGCCGAGTCGTTTGCATTTGGAGCACCGATTTGTCGAAGAATATTCCTTTGATTGAACTCATTTTCTTGTTCTTTCTCTATCCCCGTGTTTGGCTTCAACTAAACGCAACTGAAATGATGGCGTCATTTTGCTGGCTTTGTAGAGAGAGAAAGAGAAAGGCGGTATATGGCCATGGGAGAATCACATTCTCTGCTTTAGATTTTAATAAAACCTCCGCGCATTCCTTTGTATCTTGAATCGACGACTTTACCCTCATACCTTGTATTTGTAATTTAAGACTACATAATGAGTAATGTTACAGTTACTGTCGGGTGTACATCGAATTTGTATAT